GGGGGACAGGCTTCATAAGCTAATGTCCCTGTTTGGCTCTGAGGGTGTGCAACACCTTGCTTCGCAAGCACCTGAGGCGATAAGCGCGCGCCCAGAGGCATATTCAAGCTATGAAAATACTCTGCTAGAGCCCCTACAGCAGAAGATTTCTGCGTTGACTGCGTCCATGACGCCACCGTCGGCGACGGATGACTCCCAACAACCCAGGCCGCTTATGGTGAGTGCTAAGACCTTCGAGAGAAAGGATAGCGAGACTCTCCTGCACTGGTTGAGGATGTTAGGATGGCCATGGCGTTCGCAATTCTCCAGACCAAGCAACAGCTTGTGGTGCTAGCTATCTCTAAGCTCGGGGGCCGAGCGGAAGAAAGACACTGACGTGCGGCACTTCGGTCGTAGCGGCGTTTCTCTCCTGGACGGAGCTGAAGCTGCAGCTTTCAAAAAATTTCTTGCCGCCTAACCAGGCATATCGCGTGCGATCGCGTTTCCTTGCACAAGAGTGAGAACACTCATTACCGGGATGGCAGCCGAGATCTCCCCGAGGCGATCGCAGTGACCGTCTTTTTATATGGCCTTAACACTGGCGTGACCAAATGGAAGCCTTCCGTGTGCATCCATCTTCTTTTGAAAAAGCGGTAAATGTGGCATTGAATGCCGAATATAACTTTAAGCCGGCACGACTTGGTTGGAATGCACATTCGCAAAGGTCGTCGAGCGGGCCTGAGCCAATATTGTCTCCTGTGCAAAGCGCGTAAAGGCTCATCAAACCGACATTTCGCTTCTTATCAGTCTTCTGGTTTATCGCGGGGAAACGACAATATACTGTAGGCGCGGGGCGCCCTATCGGGAAAGAACCGAGCTCTGTTATGCTTTAACGAGGTAGAGGGCAGCAGTGTCCAGTCCCAAAGAACTCCGTGCTCTAGAACACGGAACGTGTATGCAAGTCGGGCTGGCTGGTCGAAAAAAATACCGTGAAGGTCCTTGAGGAGCCATGAAAGTTCCTGGTCAATTTCGGGGCGTCGGGCAATAATGAATAACGCTCCACGATGGGAGAAAGTCAGCTGTATTCCGAATCACTAAAGGTGCGGTTAAGTGATCTCGTCACTGTTCACTTAGCGACGGGGATATCTGTCGTGGTGCCAAAGGTCCCTGTAGACCTCGCTTTTAATTTTCTTGACGTCGATCGCGTGAAACGCTGTTTAGTCTTAGATTTGAATTCAAGGTATGACCTCATCCTTTATATGGCATGGTAGGAACGCCATGAGCCATGTATTAATTATAGATTGAGAACTTTTGGTGCTTCGCGCACGTTTCGCGGTGGAGCTTTGGTGAGTCATGAACCTACTTCTACTAGGATGCAAAAATACGCTAATGGTGCGGGCACTGGACCGAGACGTCCAACGTGCTGGAGATCGGAGTACCTGAGCTGGTGAATATCGAAGGTGTATAGGTTGGAATCCCTTGCATGGCCCGCGGGCTGAACATGGAGTGGCACGTATCCACTTTTTGCTGATCAAGTATCGGAGCAGTCGCTGCGTGCCATGGGTGGCATGGTCGGCCAAGAGTCGAGGCATCGAGGGCGAGACCCCAGTGATGCATGTGGAGTAGCACGTAATCCACTGAGCACTGCTCACCTTTCAAAGTGGTCGCCGCATGTCACGAGTGGCAAGTTCGGACGAGATCCGAGGCATCTCGAGCTTGGTCCTTCTGATGCGCGTGGAGTGGCACGTTTACCACTTGATGAAGACTACGGTGCTAGCAGCTCTAAATCGGGTGTTGTCAATAACATCAGGGCTCCAATGGAACAAGAAGTGTGGCTGACACTGGACGACGCTAAGTGCGTGTTTATACTGGTCTTGCCGAGACATGCAGTCTCTGTGAAAAGGAGACACCGACACGGTATGCTAACTGCAAGACGCTGAGCGTCGACCCTGATCCAGGATGTGTATACCGTAAACTAGAGCACACAGCCATACATTCTCGTCAGCGGTATGACGGGAGAGGAGACGGTGATGTCTACTCGAGGCTATTTCCGCGGTGGTGCTCTTCTTGAGCTGGACAAGATATCCCTTGAAGACTTTGGCGGTGCCTTGAAGGCAGGCAAATTAGCAAAATGGTCATTGTACGACCAGAAGAGGAGATCAACTCGTCGTAGCTTCTAAATGAAGCTGTCCTGTACGACACCGAGAGGGTGCTGAATGCACAAAGAAGATCTTCGATCCTGAAAAAAACTCGGATCCGTACAAATCTTTTGTAAAGAACTTTCAAGATGTCGTCTCCCAAGGACCCACCGTCGATCCTACCTCCGGACCGAGGCGTGCGACATGAGATCGACTGGTTCCGAAAACCG